CCAATCAGAGTACAGCAGTACTGTACTTCCAATCAGAGTACAGCAGTACTGTACAACCAATCAAGTACAGCAGTACTGTACTACTAATCACAGAGTACAGAAGTACTATACAACCAATCAAAGTACAGCAGTACTGTATTACCAGAGTACAGCAGTACAGTATAATCAATCCTAGAGTACAGCAGTACTGTATATGTACTGCCAATCACAGTACTGTACTATAATCACGAAGTTGATTATCAGTACATGTAGTACATGTAGTAGTACAGTACAATATAGTATAGTACAGTACAGTACAGTGTTAGCAATAACACAGAAGCATGCAGTACAAGAGCTAAGGTTGACAGTACGGTATACTGTAGTACAATACAGTATAGTACAGTATAGTACAATGCAGCATAGTACAGTACAGTATAGTACAATGCAGCATAGTACAGTACAGTATATACTTTAAAAATTACTCAACTCTGCAAAGGCATCTAAAAAATTTCCAGTACAGTACAGGTGTTTCTTGCACAAATAATACACACAAATTCCCAAGCCAAATATTCATGCAAAATGTTAACTCTATTGAAAAAAGGCCATACAAAGATGAATACTGTAGAGTAACCCGGTTGATTTACCCTGATACTCAAAACACCCTAATGCTACCAGCAAGTTAAGTTAAGTTAGCTTAGCTTAGGTTAGGTTATTGTTAAGGTGCTCAGTCATTAGGTGAAATAACAACTTAAAAAAAATATATATTATTTTATCATTATGTACAGTCATAAGAACATAAGAATGGAGGAAACTGAAGCGTGCCTATTGTCCCATACTGGGCAGTCCCGTTTATACCCAACCCCTATTGCTCATATAAGCATCCAACCTATGTTTGAAGCTATCCAGCGTATTCGAGTTAATGATGATATTTGGTAACTTGTTCCATTCATCCACTACTCTGTTTCCAAACCAGTGTTTACCTATTTCACGCCTAAATCTAAATTTGTCTAATTTAAAACCATTGTTACGAGTTCGCTCCTGGTTGGATAGTTTGAGTACCTTTGTTATGTCCCCTTTGTTTAACCCTGACTTCCATTTATACACCTCTATCATGTCGCCCCTCACTCTACGTCTCTCGAGGGAGTGCAAATTAAGATACTTTAACCTGTCTCTGTACTCATGGTTCCTGATGCCCGGGATTAGTCTTGTCATTCTCCTCTGGATTCTTTCCAAGGATTCTATATCCATTCTGTAATACGGTGACCAGAACTGAACTGCGTAATCCAGGTGACGTCTCACAAGCGCTAGATATAATTTTAAGATGACTTCGCTAGTCTTGTAAGAAACACTTCTTTGTATGAACCCAAGTACTTTATTAGCCTTGTTACGAGCAAAAACACATTGTTTACTAGGCTTAAGATTCCTACTTATCATTACTCCGAAATCTCTCTCGCAGTCGGATTCCACAATGGCATCGTTGTTCAACTGGTAACTGGTTTCCATGTTTATATCTCCTATACTGAGTACTTTACATTTGTCCACATTGAATTTCATCTGCCATTTTTCCGACCATTCGAAAAATTTGTTTAGATCTTCCTGTAGTTTTGCAGTCGTCAGATTTAATTACACGCCCTATTTTAGTATCATCAGTAAATTTACTTATGTTGCTGTCTATGCCAATATCTATGTCGTTTATGTATACTGTATAATAAATAATAATGGTCCAAGTACTGAGCCTTGGGGAACTCCACTAGTGACGTTGCTCCAATGCGATTTAGTGCCGTTTATGCTCACTTGCTGTTTCCTGTCCCGTAACCACGCCCTAATCCATTTAAGGATGTTACCTTTGATGCCATGCGCTTCTACCTTTCTAATTAGTCTTTCGTGGGGGACTCTGTCGAAGTCTTTGCTAAAGTCGAGATATACCACATCATAATTGTGCCCTTCGTTCACCGATTCGAAAACTGATGAAAAGAATGTTAATAGATTAGTTAGACATGAACGCCCGCTTGTGAAGCCATGTTGGGAATCATTGATCAACTTGTGCTTCTCCAGGTGGTTTCGAATAGAGTTTGAAATGATTGATTCTAGCAATTTGCATACTATTGTTGTTAAACTGATTGGGCGGTAGTTATAGGATAGCGATCTATCCCCCTTCCTGAAAATCGGTATTACATTCGCTATCCTCCAGGATTCTGGTACTACATCTGTTTTTAATGACATGTTAAACAACTTTGATAAGGGCATACTAAGCTCTTCCTTACATTCCATTAATACTCTGGCAAATATATCATTGGGACCAGGTGACTTATTAGGCTTCAGTTTGTCTATTTGCTTATTAACATCGTTACTAGTCACTACTATCTTGCTTAATTTGTTTTCTTCACTATCTCTGAATAGAGTCGGTGCCTAGGGTATCATGTTTAAATTTTCGGTGGTGAAAACTGTTGAAAAATATTTATTCAGATTATTGCTCATTTCTCCATCATTATCAGTTAGCTCGTTGGTATCTGAACGTATTGGTCTAATCTTATCTCGTGTTTTAGTTTGATACATTAGGTAGAATCTTTTGGGGTTTGTCTTCGCCTCTCTTGCTATCTTCAGTTCATTATTTCTCTTTGCTTTTCTTATCTTGGTCTTAACCCTACCGGCCAATACCTTATAATACTCCCAGAAGTAAATTTCGCCACGATTTATCCTTCTCTCTATAGCCTTCCTTTGGCCAATAATGTTCTTTAAATAATTATTTATCCATTTAGGGTCATTGTTGTCTGATCTGAGTTTTTTGTATGGTATGTTCTGCCTTTGTGCATTAAGTAACTCGTTATTTAAATTGTCGTGGAACTCGGCAATCTCAGATCTCGTTATCAGGTCGGTGTCATCTGTCAGGTTCACGCCCAAGCGCGACACCCCTCTCTCAGCTGCCTCTTTAAACTATCAAAGTTTGCCCTTCCGAAATCTGGGACTTTAATGGAATTTTCCTTATGTCTGACCTGAAAATCTAACTGGAATCTAATTTCTTTGTGATCGCTGTTTGCAAGTTCGTTCCCTACCTCGACATTGCTAATGAGGTTTTCTCTGTTCGACAGAACTAAATCGAGTATATTATTACCCCGGGTGGGTTCGGTTATATGTTGACTTAGGAAACAGTCCTGGATCGTTTCGAGGAAATCCTCTGATACCGTAAGGTCAGTCCAATCTATTTGGCCAAGGTTAAAGTCGCCTACTATACAGACTTTGTTGTGTATGGAAGCCCTGCGCATTTCATCCCAGATAAGTCGCTCATTAACTCTATCAATATTGGGAGGTCTATATATTACTCCTATGATTAATTTTTCCCTACCGTCAATTAATTCTATCCAAATTGTTTCTGTATTCCGCTCAGTTTTTATTTCCTTATTTATTTCACACTTCAGATTATCCCTGACGTAGATTGCTACTCCGCCTCCTTTCCTGGTCTGCCTATCGGTATGGAACAATTTGTAATCCGCAATTTGGTATTCGACGGGTAACTCACGTGAGTCTAGGTTGATCCATGTTTCAGTGAATGCTATTATATCGATTTTTTCGGTACATACCAAGGCCCTAATATCATCCAGTTTGTTTCTCATACTTCTACTGTTCGCGTAGTAGACATTTAGGTTAGTCGTGTTCTGAGTCCTCCCTTTACCGCGTTTAGGTCTTAACTCGCTGTCTAATTTAGCTTTATCATCATTCCTAACACCATTTCCCTGTAACCTTTTACTTTGTTTACCCGCTCCCACTGCAGTCTCCTCCACCCATGTGCCCATATGTTCCCCTAGTAGTTTAAAGACTTCGATATCTTTTGAACTGCCCCCTCTAAAGACCCCGCCAGGGTTGCCACCCCATCCCGAGACAGGTGCACCCCATCCCTAGCATAAAGGTCCCTTCTGCCGTAGGAGTTGTCCCAGTTGTCAATGAATGGGACCAAGAATCCTGAACAACACTTCATATTCTTGGGCGACTCCTGTTAATTTCTCTGTATTAACTATACGTGATATACAGCATACAGTAAAGCACATCATACAGGTTACACACTACATCACACTATCAAAAGTACAGAACTACCAACCTTACCAAATGAACATGGCCTCAGACCCAAGGGTGCAGAATTTTTTATTTGTTGACTAGCTACATCAATAACATATAACAACAACATGTATGATAACTGTAAAATCCAGCCTACCACTTTTATTTTATCCACACTGTACCTGCACTTTATACAGTATAGTGTATACCCTCACTGTCTATACACATACGGAATCAACGTAAACTTGTAAGATAATTTCACGGAATACAACTGACCTGACCTATTCTCACCTCCATAATCCAATTAATGTACGACACACCTAACTGATCCACAGACTGAGTCCATCAAATAACCCCCCTTGACACTTAAGGACATTTTCTATCCATTTTACTGAATATTTTAAATGCCTATGACTTTCAAGGCCAATATCTCTCAAAGCCTGGATATCTGATGAGGTATTTTCACTTCTCTCAGGTTGTGTAAGAACCTTGCTAAATCCAATCACAGGGAGATAACTGGTATTGCCAATCACAGAGGCAACTGGTGTGGCCAATCCGAGAGAGGCAACTGGTGTGGCCAATCCGAGAGAGGCAACTGGAGTGGCCAATTACAGAGAGGCAAGTGGTACAGCCAATCACAGGGCAACAAGCAGCATGGTGATTCATAGGTAAGTATGCAATAGAGTTACTTAGAGAGTAGCATGCAACAGACCCAATCAGAACGAAGCATGCAGTTGAATCAATCAGAGAGAATCATGCAGTTGAATCAATCAAGAGAGAATCATGCAGTTGAATCAATCAAACAAAAATCACAATAGCACCAATCAGAGATAAGCACACAATAGGGCCAATCAGAGAGAAGCACACAATAGGGCCAATCAGAGCAAAGCACAAAAGGGCCAATCAGAGAGAAGCACACAAAAGGGCCAATCAGAGAAAGAGAGAGAAAGAGAACTCAAGATAGTACTCACAGGTCCAGGAGAGGGATGTCAGTTGCCTGCAGGATGTTGAGGTAGATACATTTGCTCACCAGCTTCTTGGAGTACTTTGCCATCAGCCTGAAAAGAAGCACAAAGACGTCTTTATAGCGACCAGCTTGTGATGGGATGAAGATATAGTACTGTACAGGCAGTATATCTTATAAATTATATATTAGCAACACAGTATGCTTCTACCTTGCAGGTTTTTAAATGATTCTAAATAAAGTATACTGTATATAAACCTCCTCACACTATCCACGCATCAGTAGGTCTCTCAAGTCACCATGAATGATGCGTTGCGTTCACCACCGTTAATGGCAGTCTGCCCCCCAGCCACCATCACTTGGCCCCACACGCATCCACTTCAACACACTCCACCACGGCAAAACAAAAATACTTTTGATTTTTTTTTAATTTAATAAAAAAATTAAAATTTTTGTTTTAAGCACAGCAATAGCCAGGTTTTCCTGTAGTTGCAGTTTAAAGGATATGGAAGGAAGGTTTGTGATCTAAACTAATACTGTACAGTACTGTAATGTACTACTATACTGTATATAGATATAGTACAAGTGTTTATAATTGTACCCATGTTTGATAGTGTACAGTACAATACAGTACACTACCTGCACAGTATATGTTTAAGCTTCCAGCAGACAGACTAAACGAACAAAGAGTCAAACTTTGTCATGACATCTGTACAGAAGTCATTTATATTTTGGGTTCCTCTTTATGGTCCAACAAACAGGTGTAAATTATGAGGTAATAAATGTTGTGCAATGTATAGTGGAGGTTATCAAAGTAAATGGAGGCGAGTCTGACCAAAAATTATGTCCAATACTGTAGCTATATACATGTACTGTACTGTACTGCTGAGTTAACTTAAAGCCTTAATCAATCACATTCCAATTACCATATACTGGACCTTAAAAAATAAATTAGGAAAAACTCTTGATTCCATGTAATAAAGACAGAATAATATGAACTCCTGTATTAGTACAGTCCCTACCTGCTCAGTTGTACAGTGCAGTACTGTATAATATAATAGATCTTAACCAGGCCTGGTAAATGTTATTCAGGGGAACTTAATCACCTTGTACAGCGTTCACCTAAAATTAGTGCATCTTTAATTGTTATTTGATCATTTCTCCAAAGTTCATTCCTTCACACTGTTCCTCCCTCCCTCATACTATTCTTCCCTCTAACCATCCACCTATACAGTACAGCTCCTCTATACTACACAGTACAGTACTATACTCTACTGACCAATATTTTAACCTCTCATTCTAGTAAAGTAGCCTGTTCACACTACAGTACAGTACCTTGTATATCATCACTTGACTCAAGACCTAACACTTTACGTACATAGTTTACATTCATTTTTGCACCTGCCCCGAGAGATCCCCCCCGAATCAATGATGCACTGCACAGTACAGTCAGGATATATTGTGACTTTTTATATATAAAAATTTATATCGTGACTACCAAAATTATCAAAATTTTCCAATACACAGTATAGCGATAAATTTAATTATTTCGCAAGGGAAATCGGGCAGGAAATATTTCAAATGTACCGCCATGGCAAACATATGCGTTATTTGCTCACCAGAGGCGCCACCGTGGCTACTCACTCACGCATTCAGGCTCACCCGCTCAGTCTTTCCGAGTGAGTGACGAGCAAGCAGCCGACTCTGCTGCAGATTACGACTTCTAAGGTGAGTGTAAATGGGTTGGTAGTGACGTGAAAAGTGAAGTGAAGAGAATGGAAAGCTCACCGGAAAAGATTTAATATTGTAACTAATATTTTTGGTGTTCGTTTATGTAGGTGTGGGATTGTCAAGTGAGGGTGGCAGTGTGGCGTCTACTGCCGAGTCTGGTGTTTCTTGATATTGAAATTGAAACAGTCTGTTGTTCCCGAGTCTAGTGTTCATTGGTGCTTTAGTTAGTAAGAAAATAAACTCATTAAGTCAAGTTTAGTCACCTTTATTGGCCTCCAGAACCTAACCCTATTTTCCCCATTGACTACACGTAATTATATATCGCAATTTAGTATATAGCGAACATCGCTGAACCCTATCTGGCGATATATCCCGACCCTACTGTACAGTACAGTACCATATGTGGAAAAGCGTGTGTGTACAGTGTAAGTACTGTATGTATGTATAATAATAATAATAAAATATATAATTAACAGTTTATTGAGAGAAAATAGCAGCCAAGGCTGAAAATACACAATGAACATAAATGATGCAAGTTACCATACATACAGTACAGTATAGAGAAATTGGAGTGGACCACATAATATAATATTTCAAAACAAAAAGAGGAAAACACACGAGGTGAACATACAAGAGTGTGTGTGTGTGTGTGTGTGTGTGTGTGTGTGTGTGTGTGTGTGTGTGTGTGTAGTGTGTGTGTGTGTGTGTGTGTGTGTGTGTGTGTAGTGTGTGTGTGTGTGTGTGTGTGTGTAGTGTGTGTGTGTGTGTGTGTGTGTGTGTGTGTGTGTGTGTGTAGTGTGTGTGTGTGTGTGTGTGTGTGTGTGGCCTCCTCAACAGTCATGTCTCATACAGTGGCTACTAATACAGAAACACTTGTTCACTATTATGTAGACATACTGTACTGTACTTGTATCATAAAATAAAAGTCTTGTTCTTAACTATTCAGGCACGTGGGGAAGGTCTACAAACAAGACTCACAAAGGCCAGCACAGCACAGTACAGCACAGCACAGCACAGTACAGGCTGAAGCACACAGGATGAAGACTGCTCACCTCACTACTAGGAGGCTCAATTACCGGTACTGTATCTTACTTGTAATAAGCTTAATACAGATATTCTTTGGTTTTCATTAGTTTTACACTCCATATTACAAATACATTTCTCATATTTTTTTCTCTAAAATTCATGGGTATCTGAAGTGCGCCCAATGGATTCATATTTCATGTCTGCCCAAAGCAAGCACTGGAGCTAGTTTCTTGGACACTCCCAGTCAACCTGTACAATGAGCAGTACAAATCAAACACCCAAAAGGTAACCCCAGATCATGCCTCCTTCAAGTGATAACCGTAGTAGCGTGTTGTTATTACCACCAGGCTGTGTGTACTACCCAGTATACTAAATGTTACATAATACTTCCTTGAGATAAATGTACAGTACAGGGAGTATATATCAGGTGCACCTCAGGTTCTCAACTGGCTCAGCCATGTTAATATTGTTATTATTATCCACTCTGTATCTGTGTTTTTCTGGCTACATAAACTGTTTCAATTCAATTCAATTGTGTGAGGGGCCACTGACTGCTGCCCATCAGTGCCAGAGGTTGCCAAGTTGTGTGTAGTACAGTGATGGTCTGAGACGTCAATTGTTCACCGTGGAGAATTTTGACCGAGGATGATAATGAGAGTAGTAAATCTGTCCCTGGTAGGAGTTATACTGTATCATACTTCTGCTGTTGTCAAGCTGCATCACTGGCAGGGAGCATAGTTGGTTGATGAGTGATGAGGGCAGAGGTGTAGTTGTTTAAAAAGTATTGTCCTTAGTTTTCAGTGAGGTCTGGTGGTTGCAGTAATACCTGGTGTACAGTACAGGTATTTGGGTAGCCATTAAGAGGGAGGAGCTTCATAATCTCTCATGTGAGGTATCTGGTGATGGCCAGGAGACTAGACACACTTTCAACTCTCAGTACAAAATTGTGCAACAGGAAAATGAAGACTGGGAGACATCACCACACATGATGCTCGGTTATCACTGCTGGAGACTGTATTCAAGTCAAATTATTAACGTGCAGTACGTAAGTAAGAACTCGGTGTGACTAAGTGGGAACAATGATATAGTACAGAGGGATGTGCATCACCTGGGGTAAGAGACCCAGGAGTGCATCTCTGAGGGAGAAAGTCACTGTGGAAATGTAGGGTATTACTGTATAGTGTACAAATACAGTATATCCTGCAAATTGTATTGTATGAAACAGCCCCTTCCCCTGGACTGTGTGGCAGCAGTCTGTAAGGGGCTAAAATCATAAACACTCAGCTGCCTGTACAGTAACATCACAGTAAAAGGTACGGTAAGCAGGTTCTCACTGTATGGCAATGCACCTCATCCTTGTACAATATTGGTCTTTGTGACAGTTTGTGGCCAACACCAAGAAAAGTGTACCTAGGCCTATTGGGCTGACAAGTTATGCTCGGCAATGATTGGTTTGTACTCTCCACAGTAAATCTGGCAACGTAACAGTTTAAGTCATTTGACGCTGGATTCACTTAAAATGGAGTTTCTATTTAAAAATAATTCAACATATACTACAATGGATGATAAGACATTATTATACTTAAAGAGTTGTACCTGACTATAAAACACTTGCTGGTTAAAGTGTCCCTGTCTGAGGAAACTTAAGAGATGGCACCTCTCCAGGACTCTGGGAGGGGGTAGTAACTAGTACAGTACAGAGTATGGAGTTTGTTTTAGTTTATGGTGTTCCTCCAGACTATATAATGCTTGACAACATAAACTGTACGGTCTTGCCACTGTTTTACTGTACCTTCGTGCCAGGGCTTATCCTTATAAAGACTAGCATGAAGGTCAACGATGGTCTTATTTTCAAACTTAAAATTTTCAGATCCCAGTCACAGAAGTTGGGGTCTGGGGAAGAGCCTCCTAGACTACCAGGCTATAAGAGTTGCTTCATCCCAGAGTATCATTAAAAAACCATTGATATAAACAACCTTGTATGCAGTATAGAGGTACAGTACAGTACAGGGGTATTGTACTGTACACAAGCATTATGATAGTACAGTACACATGGTCATGTAACCTTTACGTATGAAGCTTTATCAGCACAAGATAATCAAGTACACACTAGACCATGACGGACAGATAAACGAATACACTTCACCATCAAAGCTTCTCGGCCATTTTCCACACCTGTACGGGTTAGCTGGTAGTACGGTATTACCTGATGGCAGTTCTTGTGCTGCATCATCTCTTGCACACACACACACTAACCAATACAGTACACTATGCCTATCTGTTTCACCAGAGGCATAAGGCCAATACTCAGTCTTCCGATACTGTACACAAGACGGC